CATTTGAGACATCAATTGCCTTTTTTTCTGCTTCAATCTTCTCAACCTGCAGTTTTGAGTCCCTCTCGAGGTTTTTTAAAGAGGTTTGAAGCTCTTTGACTTTATTTTTGTACTGTTTTACTTAAGACAACCACTGAGGCAGGTGGGAACTCTGGTTACAAGTGTAATTGTGTGAGTGTAACACTGTGTTGAACAGTGTTGGTTGGTTGAGTCTCCTTTTGCATGAATCACTGCACACCATCAACCATAGAAGGTTGATTGTGTGTTTTAGTAATCAATTATATTTTATCACACATTTATAAGATAAACAGGAAATCAGTTATTTTTCACACTTTTATTAGTGTACTCTGTCATATATTAAAGGCATACAGCATACATTAAATGAGTGTTTTTAATTGACTTGCTCTCCAGGAGAAATGAATCTGTTTTAATGAGCGGTAACGGTAGCCTGCTGCTCAAGTGTCTGGTGAAATGTTTACATTTTCATGGAAGAAATGAATAGTGTTTAAATGATTATAAGTTCTGCTTTCATTTTTATGGACAGAGGTGTTTTTGGCTTTACGTGTCAGAAAACATGTTAGTGTCATTACACAAGTTTACGAGCTTGATGTAGTAAAAAATCTAAATGAAACAGAATACAAAGATATAACAAAGATTTGCACTAGCTTTGCATGTATGTAAAAAAAAAACATGGGTCAATACAATAGGCAAATTCAATTAATAATAATACTGAACATTTGGTAAAAGAAGTAGATGTATTTGGGAAATGATATTAGGACAATATAAAAATGTGAGTACCTCTTTTTTTCTCTGTTGTAATAATAAAAAATACATTTAAGAAAATCCTCCCCAAGACCCAAAACAAAACAGTCTTCCATGTAACGTAAATCATGACATCTTTTTGAGTAATTATTTCACAAAAAACAAATCACAAACAATACAAAACTCAGTGCATTGCATAACCACCTTTAAGAGACATCATTGCAGTGTCACGTAAAGTAACAGTGAAATGTATTCACGCTCTTCTTTCTAACTTTGTGTCCATTCATTCACAGATTTCGGACTTCGTTCCCACTACAGTCCTCTCAGGCTCATCTCTGGTCTTTAACTAGACCACATCAGCACCTTGCTTCTGTCCTGTTTCAGTCATTCCATTGCTGCTTGCTGCAATCATACAACAATAGAAACACTTCTTCAGAAGGACAGTCACAATTATAAGGAGAGCAAATGTTAGTGATTATTGTAGTCTTAGCATCACAAATGCACTTGAAAAAGCAGTTAAAGTCGGAACAAATGGTATTTTCTTACCATCAGGGGTTTTTATTTTTTGGTCTCCTAAAATGAAGAACAAGGAAAAACTCAGAATTGATGATAGCCATATATATATATATATATATATATATATATATATATATATATATATATATATTACAAAGCAAAAACTTTTCATACAGTACATACAGTTGGATCTCAATAAATTAAAAATTTAACTTTTCAGTAACTCTGTTCAAAAAGGAAATTCAATTTTGAATGGATTTATTATAAACACTGGAATATATTTGAAGCATGTCTGGTTGTTTTGATTACGGCTTATAACTAGACCTACATTCAATTTTCTCAGATACTATCAATATTGCATAAAATAAATTAACACATTTTCAACAAAACCAAGTAGTTGGCCTTCTGAAAAATACTGTATGTGTTAAACAGTGTTGGTTGGTTGAGTCTCCTTGAGCATGAACCACTGCATCAGCCTGTTTTTATCTTGAAATAATCACAGCCTCCATCTCTTATGGATTGTTGGGTCTTGTGTCTCTCACCGTCCTATTAGTGATTCTCCATAGAGCTCAGGTGAGGCATGTTTCCTGGTCAGTCCATATTTGTATGTGTGTGGTGACCCCTGAGCCACCACCTTCAGCTGCAGTCAGTGTCCTGGCTTTACTTCCATATGTACGCTGACAACACACAATTTTATATGCCAACGCATAACCCTAGTCCATTAGACTCAATGGGTCAGTGTGTCCATGGTAGCAGTGAGTGGATGGTTCAAATTTCCTCCATAGTCTGATAGAAATGGTGGAAAAACCATAATTTCTTGCCATAAAAGTGGGAGGGGTCAAATAGATTCAATATGGCTAAACACCACAGATCATGAGATTAATGTCTCATGATACGAGATACAAGACAAAGAAAAACAGATGCTCTTATTTTTAGTATGTTGTAATACTTTCTATGAAGATGTCTGTAAAGTAAAATACTTATCCTGACCAAATCTAGAAAAATGGATCACATCAAACAAGGACTTAAATCACTGTACTTGATTGGTGTTTATCAAATAATTGATTAAGAAACTCTTCTATTTGTCTTTAACGCAGTAAAAGATTTTGAGTGGAAATGCATTTCTGAGTTCCTTGTCAGAATCATCTAGACCCCTCAGGTCTTCAGAGAACTGCTTTTACTCCAGAAATTAAACAAGAAACAAGACAAAGTGGCAATTTGTTTCTTCAAACTTAGCAAAAGTTGTGACCCTGGGACCCTGCCCAAAAATTAAGTGCCAGAGTAACATGTCTACTTTGACAATTTTTAAAGGGTCAACTCTGAGATACTAATGCATGTAGGTCTTAAATCCCATCACACGACATTGTAAAGAAATATGTAGTATTTTCTTTGTAGTGAGTAGTTTTCTTACCCTCGGTCACCAGTTCTCTTCTCCGAATGCTGAAGGCTACTGGACCTTTGATGGTAAATCCAAGGTAGAAGGAGACATGACCTGATCTGCAGAGACAATCCCTTCGGTTTGCGTCTACCTCAACTTCGGTGCCTCTGAATCTTGCATAGACTCTGTAGTTTCGCACCGCTCCTTCAACTTTGAGAAGGCGTTCTTCAACTATGGAATCTCTGAAGATGCTCTCATTCTTCCAGTTTGTGTTTGATTCTTGCAGTGCATCTTTGGTCCACAAGATCTCAAGAACCCGTCGGTGAACAAATCTGTTCAAGCTTACGCCTGGTCCAAGAAAAAACAGAGGTCGGAGGTATCTTGATCTAAACATCGTCTTGTATTCTCGCTCATAAGCATGACTTGCACTTTTTATTAACTGATAGAGATCAGGAACTGGTTTGTCTTCATTTGTAGGCCAAGACAGAAGCAGAGAGAGAAGATGATATTCTGCTTGTGTGACAGAGGACGGTGGCTTTCTTAGCTTTAAAGCATTTTTATAATCATAACTGGATATTGGCTTGTTTTTGTTTGCAAGCATGATCGTTGCAAGTACAAAGTTGACAAAAGCATCAGTATTTGAGTTTTTTCCTTGTGAAATTTCCCTCCACCACTCTATGATATATTCAATGTGTGAGGTGCATGTTCGGTCTAGACATGAGAGGACCCCAGCAGAGGTGATGGCCAGTTTCTGCTTCAGTTTTTGGAAAGTCTGTTGGAGTCTGTCATTGTGTTCAGGGACAGAGTCTCCAACATACTTTTTGTAGCATGCTGAAGCTTCTCTAGAAACATAAGCTTTGTCTTTTCTCAGGACAGACTGTGAATAAATGAGGAAGGTGTCGAAGAATTCCATTTTTTTCTCAACTTTCTTCCTGAGATTCTCTATGAGGTCCCTGAACCTAAAGAGTTTGTTGTCTCCCAGTGATTCCAGGACTGAGCCCATCGGCACATTCTTTGTAAGCACTTCCTTCCAAGTCTTATTTTGGATGAGGAGTAAGTCAAAGAGAATGTTACAGACCTGCAGGAAACCAAACTGCCCTCTGGTGTTTAAACCCCACAGGACTTTAGATTTCTCATCTTCTGTCAAACTTTTCCTGTGTTCCTCTTCAGCAAGTTTTTCTTCATGCTCAAAAGCTTCAATGGCCTTCTGGGCCAACTGCAACAGTTCTCTTGGTTCAATTGAAAGCTTATTGTTCCTCAGATGGTTTTTATGAACTTGGCCCAACGTGTCAGCAATAACGGATTTTTTGGGGTCTCGTTTTATTTCCTCTTTTGCCCAAAATTCAGCTTCCTTGTAGTCTTCAAGTTCTCCATAATAAAGCCTGGCAAGTGCCT